CACTGACAGGTGCCATGATAACCAGATAATCGGTGTTATTCACTTCACCTGTCAGTGGTCATAATGTTATGGCTGATCGGTGTATAATAATTAAGGAAATAATGGAGAGTGGGGGGTCACTGTGGAAAAAAGGCATCTTCAGAAAAAATCTTACATGTAAAGGTATTAAGAAGTGCTTTATAAGATGCATTAAAGCAATCCTAATGGTAGGGGGCTGGAAATCGTATTTATTGTAAAACTTTTGAGAGCTACAGGGATAATTGATAAGTAGCTGTGATCTGATGAGGAAAACTGACATAACTAATCAAAATGATCTGCCTCCACCCTGCGCTATAGAATTAGTTCAGTAAAAAAGACAAGAGAAGCACAAATTACAATGGTTACATGTGGTTTTGATGCCTGAGTGTATCAACAGCTCTGAGTTGTCAAGTCATCATTGGTGCATTCATGCTCATTTGCGCCTGTCATCCTAATCAGCCTGCAGTGCGGGCTTGACTGTGACCTCAGGCCTCTATCGGACAGGCCCTGATTGATCAGGCTCAGCTCGTACTTGGGTGCGTCAGAGATTTTATTGTCCGCCATGATCTATGACACAATTAGTCGAGGTGGCCTTGACTGGCTGCGGCCCCTCCCACCGGTCTGCCAAGGCTGTGGCAGAAAGTGCTGCTGCTACCGTCAAACCAGCCATTGAGAGCATGCTCTCTCTCTGCCAGCATACTTTCATATAACCCCTTACTTGCGTAAATACTGGACCAGAGATTTAGGCCCGCCTCCAAGAGCAGTGCTGCACTAAGAGCAGATTCATGAGTCACTCTCTCAAACAGACGTCATCTCCAACTGTTGGCAGGGAGCAGAATGAACGTAAAGAAGGGAAAGTTTGTTCTGCAGTTTTAAGTTTGCATCACACCTGTAAAATTGAGTTAGGGCACAAAGAGCTGACTTTGTTGAGAAAACTAGAGCTACTGTCCTCCACACAATGCGGGAATAGAGGGTTGGTTGTTTGACAGTTGTCCTTTTGATTCATTCTGACGATCGGTGTGGCTTTATTTAAGCACCAAAACGCAGCTTGAGGCCTGAAGCAGAGAGCCCTTATGCCTGAAAAGGGGAGTTGCTAATGCAAACCATATTCCACATATGAACATTTTCCCTACAAGCAGCAATAAGTGTCCGGGTCATAAATACATCACCACTGAGTCCTGCAGCTATGTTCGGTACGCACAGGGAATTAGATCAGAATTCCACATTGGGATGTTGGTAGAAAAGTCAACATTCCCGCAGAGGTGGAGGAATGGGGTAATATAGGCTGAGATAAGGTCTTTTCACATGCCTGTTCTCTAAAAAAAAAAAAAAAAAAGCAGCCTTGCAGCGTTGTTTCATTCTGCTTTTCTTCGACTATTTACTGCTGACGTTTATGTGAGCCTTTTTTGTGAGATTTTCCACACACTTTTTGCTCTGTCCGTTCGACTAGCACGCTCACTGTGGCACGGGCACAATCTTCTTTCATGCTTTAGGTTTGACTACGCACAAACACACCTGGAGCGAGGGCTGGAGCAAGCACACCTATATTCCACCAATACAAAATAGCTTGTCACCAACAAAAGTATGGAAGCAAAACAAGTGCATGTGAATAACAGAACCACGCTCAGAATTTGGTAATTTTAACCCGCTATTATTCCACAAATATCATCAGACCTCCTTCCTGAATACTGATTACTTTCCCTAGTCTATCCCATAGTCCACCTCTGCTTACCAGGAAAGGGAATACTCATAGCTTGTGCACACGATTATCATAAACCCCTTTATACCATCCCTCAGAAATGTAATATGCATTCTTGGTATCTAAATTCTCCTCTGGTGTCGTTTGACTGTTCATTATTTTTAAAAGGCTTCCGTTTCACAATAGGAGCCTGGCACGGAAGGAGCATCATAATCAACGTGTGTTGTGCTGATTAAGATCATTTAACCTCGATGACTCGCATAATGACTGCACACATGCCTCATCCGGTACATTAATATGTCCCTGTGACTCATGTAGAGGAGAAACACAAATTGTCTCTCCTCACTGAGTATATAAAATGATGTGCAGATCAAACCAAATACTCCACCATAGGTACTACTAGCAATTGTTAGCCAGCTCCCTTACTATATTCTTAATGCTCAGGCAGTAAAGGGTCTCTCTCTGATCTTTCCATGGCCTCAAAGCACTCTCCGAATCTGTACAGACACAAGCATAGAGCATTAAACTACAAAGAACAATGAACCAACATACCACTGCAGTGCTTCGTCGCACCCACTACCTTAATACCAGACCTACATATATAACAAGACAAAACAATTCACTCAAACTAACGTGAGAATGTACAACAATGCAACAGAATTACTACAATATCCTCATTACCTGACATCTAACGCTATGAAATATCACACTCACACGCATATAGACTCAAACACCAACCGTTCATTACCTTTCCTCACACGCTTAGAATTCAAACCACCACCTCGAGAATCTACTTAGGCCTACATATTCAATATTCAACTAGACTCTTATTAATTACTCCACCTCCTTGAACAGACACTGGATGTGTGCGAATCTTTCTAGAGGACCACGTTTTAGACCTACGACAATCCAATACCAGATTTTCTCCAACACAAACACTCCTGAAGAAGCTCTTAATGTCGACTCTTAAACCCCACACCTATAGCTCAATTTGGATATTATCACGGTTTTGGATGCACAGCTAGCTTCAAATATATCTTTGCAAAGACCAATGGCAAACAACATGACTTTCCGTAGGACTATCAACTTTATCCGATCAAATCGCTGTCTCGCTCGCATGCCTCGACCAAACGGATTGGAACACTCGAAATAACTAGAACGTCCATAGTCATTCCCCGCACCGACGCGGCAAGTCAAACTCACGAGGGAAAATGTATATCTGGAAATATGCTGCCAATGACAACTACTTTAGCACTGCAACATACTCGTACTCATGAGAAGGGCGACGAAACCACGCCTAAAATCTCTAGTTAGTACCCACATTTTACACAACTTAGCCTAAAATAATTTATAACGCAAGAATGAGAATTAAGGTGTCACTCGTTATATGAAAGCTATAAATGTCTTCCAAAAAATCAGTGTGATCAGAGTGATAGATGTTGAATAGCTACATCTAAATTGGCTCG